TCTCCATCTTCTCTTTTTGTCTTGTTCCCATGTCTGTTTCCCCCTCTGTCCCAATGTCAAGCTCGCGTGTCTTAGTCTGTGTCTTTGTATGTTACTTCTTAGATCTTCATTCAGATCTTTGAAAGAGTATCCACTGGCTTGTAGGTGTAAATATAATGCAGAGTCCTGGCCTGACGAGGCAGCTCTTCTGTGTTGTGCCGTCCGCTTCACCAGAGGTTGTTTGGTTTCCCCAATGTATAAATCCTGGCAATCCTTCTTTTTCTGATTTCTGACTTAACAGCGTACACTATGTTACTCCGTTTGTGTCGGGGGACCCGATCCTTGGGGACCAGTTTTTCGCGTGTTTTGGGGTTTATATCCTCTATCCTGGTATATCTTCATTGTCCATTACTCTAACTTGTTTTTGACTCAATTTGTTAACTTTGTGCAAAAGTAAACTCAAATGACACACCAAGACCCATTTTATGTCAGCACACACAGAACCCGAAGCAGAAAATCTAAGTTAACAAAGATGCCACACCCATCACTCTAACTGGCGTTTTAGATTTCCTTTAACTAGGTAATGCAAAGAAAGCCTGGCTATAACAAACTGACTGATTTGAAGTTTTGGAGTGGAGTTTAATTTCCAGGTTACCGTGTGTTGGACAGCTTTCTACTGCCTTGTCTTCTCGAATTAATAAATAAATATTTCTTCCTTTACTCCCCGTCTTCTGGTGAGCATAATCACAGCTTTAGAAATGATACTAGCAAACATCTTGTTAGCTAAAAATGAAATTCTTCATACCAGTTAACTAACTTTTGTTAAAATTTAATTTCTAGCAATTGTAGATTTTTTAATTTCAGAAATATTATAAATTTGTTGCCCTTTGAATTTAAGGACAGAAAAACTACAGATAACCATAAACAATCACGATAACTAGCATACCTACCGATAAAGAGCCCACCCAATCATAATTTATTATGGAACGCTAAACAATACAAAAAATAAAGAAATTAGTAAAAGCAATGCTTCTTACACAGTATTAGGTAGACTGAGGGGATTTCCATGCTGCTGTTGTCTCTGTTCTGCTCATTTACTGTCACAGTCTAGCCACATGCAGAAAGGATGTTGTGGTAATTGGGTGAAAGAAAGAAAAAGCACGGTGACCTTGTTTTACTTTGCTGAAAAATAGGTTAGGGTGTGTGTTATCTGGCTTCATGGACAGATAGAGCTGGGCGTCATCTGCATAGCAGTAAAAATTTATGTTATGTCTTCTAATGATGCTGCCTAAGGGAAGCATGTATAATGTAAGCAGAATTGGTCCTAGCACTGAACCCTGTGGAACTCCATAATTAACCTCAGTGTGTGAAGAGGACTCTCCATTTA